GCGAGAAAACCTTAATAAAACCTTGTAAGTTACTAGGTGTCACTTTCAAATGAACAGTTTGCAATGGAAAATGTTAATTATATGCTTTATTCACACATATGGAGTGTTTACATTTTTTATTTAAAAAAATTGATTCTAATTTAACAGGTGTTAACACCTGTTATTAAAAAGTCTGATTAATTGTTTGCCGAAGTCAGAAGATATATTTTCTAAACATACTTTGATGAAAGCAGACTAGGATGATTGTATCCCAGTGATTAATGGTCAAAAAAGGGGCTATACTGTTAAAAAAAATTGTCACTCCTAAAATATCTTTCCTTGTGGTCAGAAAAAGCAGACTACTTTTTCTAAAGATTCATTACAAAAAGAAGTACACATACTAGACGAAAGCTGAACTTTTTGCCACTTGAAACATTAGAAATGTGACTGACAGTTTAGAAGAACTTAAAATTCCAGCTCAAAGTTAAGCTAGGAACTGAGCTAAGAAAGGTAGATTTATGCGATTTGGCTTAGACCTGTATTGACTGAGATATCTAGAGGTATTAGAAAATATATAAAGTTAGGTATGCTTCAAGACATTATATTAAGTAATGAAGATGAATGGACTGCAGATCTTTACCGTGATTCCATTAAGATAGGGCAAGAAGCGTAAATGAAACTACTGATTGGTAGTGAGAAGAAGGTATAATAGACAGTAAACTATAAGATTTAATTACCTTAGATCACAACAAGTACATGACACTAAAATGCACCAATCTTTTATGTCTTCCTGAGATTATACATACTACCTGTTAGAGAAATGCTTTCTGCTTTTTTTTCTGCTACTGGTATCGGGCTTCTAATGACCCTTCTTAACGGCTGGAATCTCAGTCAGTGTGACAAAGTTTAAACCTACGAAAGTGACGTGGTTAAGTAAGCGAGGTACAAACCCACAGTGTGATGTACACAGAAAAGCACACACAACTCTTATTTAAGGAGAAGCTGCTGTACAGAAAACTTTAATGTGACTTGTTTAGTCACTGGACAATAATCGACTTCCTATTATCTTGTCATAAGTCCTGAATGAATTCGATTGATCATTTTTTGATATGATCAGAAAGCAAGGTAACTCAGCATCACAGTGTATCTTGATGTGACATGGTTGCAGGTAGGTGAGTAGAAAGCCCTTAATGGCCTAAACTTGATTGCTTGCTGGCACTAGTCAGTAAGGCGCATATGCGGCCTCTAGTAAACTCATGTCTCCTAAAAAATAATCCAAACAATATGCTGTACTATGACTTCAACTTACATAATTTTAATAATCATAGTAATGTTCTGGTTCAAAGTCTAAAACTAACCTCGTTTAAATACTCATCACTTTTGTGGGTTCTTATTATCTTTCTGTATATCAAGGAAACAAGTGTGGAATATTTCCAAAAGTCGGTACGCATAAGGTGAGACCCGGATACTGATCAAGTACACTTTAAGCTCAGTAATAATGTACAACTTTTCAAGTGAAAAATGCAGATTCACCTACTACATGAGGAGTAATAATGTACTAGCACCGTCTAGATCCACCAATGTGAAACTATATTAAAATCATGTTATACCATCTACCTTAAAGTAGTCTTCAGAGAATGGAATTCAAAATGGCCGCGCCACAACAACCGTCAAGAGTTTCTACAATTTAAAAATCATTTGAAGCAACATCAATGACTAAATGGAGGTCAATTAGTGAAATCAATCTAGAGGTTTGCAGAGATTTATTAATTGATTCACGTTAGTATTCATCATTGATATCATTTGGAGCAACATTGGAAGCATGTTAGCACTGGACAGCTGTTTCGTCCTAGTATGGTACTCCTCGACAGTATACATCCACGACCCGATCGGGGATCAAACCCAGGGTCTTCAGGTTCCTCGACCACCACGTTACCACTGATGTCAGTCAATGATGGATTCCAACCTGAAATCAACTCATAAATTTCCAAAAACCTCCAAATGGAATAATTCTAACGCTTATTCGTGACTGGCTTCGAGAAGTGATTCCCGAAGTTCCAATGAGAAATCATGATCAGTGGGAGCTAACCAACTCAAACATCAGGACATTTCCTTAACGACGATATTAGATGGAGGTCGCGCTATGTCGTGAACTAACCGAAGTATGAAACATTCATTATTTGATTCCAACCCAATGGCTCAATGGGAAGATGCCGACCGCGGAACCTGAACGTCCTGGTTTGGATCCTTGGTGGGGTCGTGGACGTGCACTGTTGGGACGTCCCATACAATGATGAAACAACTGTCCGGTGCTCCCACGTTTTCAATGTTTGTATAACTGATACTAGTCCATGACAAATACAAACTTGGAATTGGTGATTTTTTTCATTCTTTGTATAGTCGGCTGTTGGTTCGAAACATCAGTGGAATGGTGTAGTATAACAGTAATTCTGATCATTTGTATAGGGGCATAAATTGAAGGAGAAACAGAGTTTGATCTGTTTTTGGTGGAGCGAAAAATTTACAACTCATAAAAAATTTGTCTTAGTGAGTTCCGGAAAATATTGTATCAGCTAGATATTAAACATTTGCCTTCAGTATTCCAGTTAGTTTCTTAAAATCGTAAAGTGAAGTAGAGAGATATCGGCTAAGAAAACTATCTTTTCAACAAATTCACTCACTGAAGCTGTACAACCGTATTTATAACTATTGAAGGAAATAGCGGAATACTATTAAACAATGGAATCACGTGACCACAGTAATGATGAACAGTAGAATGAAAACACTGTCCTAAATTTAGAAGGGAATCGCATAAAAATGCAGTAACAATAAGACCGTGTTGAAAGGTGAGAATGAATCCATATTTTCTGTCAATGGAGATCCGGTTGTAGAAAATGAATTCATGAGAAAGATATTTTCTTCTCCAGTTTGCCTCCTCTCTTCACGACTTAGTGAGCATCTTCCATTATTTTTTGATATCGTTTTGCTAACAAATTTCTTAAGCTAAGCATTAGTTCAACAAAAATTTAAAAACTTTAGATCGAAACTCTTCATCCTTTTATTTCTAAATTAGTTGCTAATTAGTTTATAATCAAGAAACATTTTGCCTAGTACTATAGATTTCTAGGAAGCACTGTTTCAACTACAGGCGGGACGGACGAGGACGTCAAAGTCAGAATCGGAAAAGCAAGACAGGCGTTCATTAGCCTGAAACCAGTGTGGAGATCTTCTGCACTCAGCATGTGGAACAAGATACGGATTTTCAACACCAACGTCAAGTCAGTGCTCTTGTATGGCTCAGAGACTTGGCGCGTCACGAAAGGCATTTCCAATAAACTACAGACATTCATCAACAACTGCTTACGCTCGCTGCTGAAGATCAGATGGCCAGAAAAAATAAGCAACAAGGAACTCTGGGAACGAACCAACCAAGAACCTATCACGCAACAAATATGCAGGAAGAAGTGGAGATGGATTGGCCATGCACTGAGAAGGCCGACTGAGGACATCACGCGTCAGGCCAGTTGCTCGAGTGGAATCCCTATGGGAAGCGACGAGTTGGACGTCCGAGGGTGACATGGAGGAGGTCATGCGAGGAGGAAATGAGAGGCTGTGGGCTGTCGTGGAACCAGGTTCAAAAGATCTCAGAGAACAGAGGTCATTGGAGGCGTGCTACTGAAGCCCTATGTTCCACTAGGAACCCAAGGGACTAATAATAAATAATAAAACTATAGATTTCTAGGGCTATTGCTTTTGTTCTCCTCTGATAAAAAGCATACGAAAGTCAGCACTCTTCATGAAGTGCAGATGAGTAGAAACATATAATTTTGCCTAAATTATCTGATGTAATGGTGTATTCGTCTACTCAAGTAAAATAGCTTTTTCCAAGGTGTGTAAAAAGTGTTAAAATAACTCTCAAGTGGAGAATATTTTATCATCATGGTTAATTTATCATTTTCAAATGGGAGGTAGAAGAAAACATCTTCATTTGGTTTCTTATCAAATATGGTAGAAATGTAAATACTCTAAAATCACGCAGTAGATGCGGATTCGTTATTTCGGCATACCATTATCAAACTAATACATACTTTTAATTACGAATGTCTAGTATTTAATCTGCGAGTAGTAAAAAGTGAAGAGATTCGTAAAAAGCTTTTAAAAGATTAAGAAGCCTTTAGATAGCTAATTGTACTTCGTTCAGAGTCGCTACGGCTTGATTACACATGACTTCGTCCTGAAGAAATCATGTGATTGCATTTCCTAGTGACTTATAACTATTTGATCAGTATCTTTTAACAGTAATCAGTCATTTGGTCGTAAGCAAGAACTGAACTTCAATTTCACTGGCAATAACTTTCCTTAGATGTGATTGAAATAGTTGTAGAAGGTCAAATCAAAAAGTTTGGGAATTCTCAAGAGTGAAGAAGTAGCTTTTCGATGGTATAAGTGCATAATATAGGGTTAATCTGTAACAGTCAAGGTCTTATAATGACCATGACAAAGATAGAGGTTGAACGTGCCTTGTTAGGACACAGAATTAGTTCGAACTTTTAATGGTCAGTACTATGGCTATACCCAACTGTTTTGATCTCACTCTCTTCGAGTGGTTTGATCAAACTCCATAGAGGGTTTTGAATGAGCTCTTAAAAGCAGCTGAGTTCACAAGATGTTCTGTTATTGAGCTGGAGGGAAAACAGAAATGCATCGTCAGCTCAATAAAAGAACACCTTGTGAACTCAGACAGCTCATCTGCTTATGAGAATTTATTCAAAATCATCAGCACAGTTCTGTCAAACCATTCGAAGCGGGTGAAATCAAGGTACTTTGACGTAGCTGGAGCACTAGCCATTCAAAAGTTCAAACCAGTGTTATGTACCCAAACAAGATGCATTCAACCTCTATCTTTGGTACGAACATCTAGAGGCTTTTCGATGATGCGTTAACTTATGTCACTGATCTCCCATATCATTTAGCGGCACAATTATTGAAACATATAAATTACTATGTCAATTATGACTTACAGTGATCTTTTGAATTAATGTTTCATAAATTGGAATAGGATATTGTAGTTCATAAGTGAAATGATCTTCATTGAATCCTTTCGAATAATCATAGGTTTTGTCATATAAATGATCATTTTTCGCAAGAAATTGAAAATGTGGATTAAGTTGAGTTGATGCTTTTCCAATAGTGTACCATAATATGAACAAAAGGATAAATAAGCATTGTGTTTGAATTTGTTTTCCGGAAAGTTGCATTTTCTATGTTATGATTCAGGTTTTTCGGTAAAATAGAAGCAAGATAGTTCAATTACGTGAATTAGGCTAAATAGATAATCATTTCAACAGTCGTTTAGTCTATTTGCCTAGATTATTCAGGTTTATATAAATATACATCAACATTTGTGTGCTAAGTTTGCACAATGCATAACTATATTTGTGTCTTTCTATTTTCATGTATGCATATATGTACCAACGTGTATAGCCAATGTATATATTTGTTGGTGTGTAGACGTGTGTAATAACGAAAATGGATTTCCTATTTGGGTTTATTTTACTTAATCACCTAAACGCACAACCAAATATTATTGGTACATCTTATTCTACATGTTTTTCAATAATAGTAGCTTGAAAAAGGTCAAGTGTAAAATGAAAGGTTTCATTTGTGAAAAAAACATAAACTAGACTTCGCATCATTCATTTAAGGATTGAGTGGAATCGTTTAATGTCTTTATGGGTTTCTTCTTATCTCGCTAGCTTCATTTAATTATGAAGAAATTTTCCAACCGAAACTGAAAAACATTCATTCATAGTAGACGATTTCACCTATACTGGGTGATGATTGAAGGTGAAATGAAAATCTGGACCACAGCCAGATTCGAACCAGCGACCACCAGTGAATCCGGCCGTGTAGATTTTCATCCCACCTTCAATCATCACCCAGTATAAATACTAGTCTGTCAAACTACGGCTATCCCAGATAGTCAAATGATGACGATTTCATCATTCATGTCTCAAGTTACTGACGTTGTTTAGCACGGGCGAACCATGCTAACGGCTTTGTGCGATGTTCCGGAAAGACCTGGAGATTTTTCATATTTATTTAGCTGTACCGGAGGGGTTTAAACACCAGATAGCAGTCTGATTGATAAATCTTGGTAAATAGACAAACTTGAGTGACACAATAACACACAACAGGGAAACTTAACGAGACATATATGTCTTGGTATAACCAAACCAACAGCCTTGGATTTCTGAATTTGAACACCCGGATAGTAATGCTCTCACCACCTGGGCATTTTTTAAATAATTCCACTTATATAGGTAGTATGCACACCATTCTGCGATTCACTCTAGCCATACATAAATGTTTTTATCATCTTAAATGAGTGATAGCAGATCGATCATTCAGGTGGTTTGTACTTTAGTAATCTAAAGTTTATAAATCTTAGGGTTATTATCACCTGTATGGTATGAACCAGTGAATACTTAGTACTATGTTGTCCTATCTATTTAGTGAACAGATGAAAAAACCACCACTCATCGACCAATCCATTTTTGAAGAAGGCGTGCAAGGGCTTATGGGAATTTGTCATTTAAAGTGCTGACCACAATGGTACCTGACAAGGAAACACCCCATCACAGCCTTTGTTGAACTTCGACTCAGTAAGGATGGAATTATTCCCTAGAAAGTGCTTAGTCGACTTGGAATCCGCCAGTGACATACTTCTGTTTCGCTAGAACCCTGAAAAAATCTAGACTCATCTGAAAGCTTTGAGCGAAGATCTGAATAGGTTTGACATGCGATTTTAAGCTACAAAATATGAGATGATGGTTCGGAACTGGTATGCATCAATTCACAGTTTAATGATAGGTAATGAAATAGTAGAATGTTTTGACCACTTCGCTTACTTGAGGAGTTGCATTAGTCGAAACAAATTTTTTTTAGTGAAAGCTTAGCTTGTTTGCCAATTGGGGGCCTGCATCATTTTCGATGTCAGTGGAATAACTGACTACCTACTCCGCAGCTTGCTCTGTTGCATTTCCGTCTGAGAAATGGCCATTGAAAGCAGAAAATATGAAGGTACTCCAGGTTTCCGATGACAGTTGTCTTTGTTACAGTGCTCACGTATAGTGGAATCAACATATGAGCAGTTTTTAAGTTAGACGAAGTATATTAGTCAAACAGGATTAGTCAAGTAGTCAGATTGCAAATCTTCAGTGACTGAGATGGCTTAGATATGTTTTGTGCATATCCAGAAACCACTTTTCTTGACGCATGAAGTGAGCCGAATTAAGATTGGGTTGGGAGAAGGCTATAAGTGGCTAAAGCAAGATGTGGCATCTGTCCATGAAGTCACTGACTTTTAATCTGAGTCTCTAAGGGAGGTACAGACTGGCTGGATAGCGTTCTGGTAAAAATAGGAATCGGTGACTAAATCCTAGGTGATATGGGTGATAATCAGTCATAATGATGCAGATTTCTTTACTTTTTGAGATCTTTGAGAGTTAAGATTTTTTTATTAAACGTTTTTTCTTAATCTTATCATCCTTCCATAAACTTTTTCTGTTGTGTTATTATTATGTTTGTACCCACTTGTGAAGTGTAACAAGTTGAAGTTTTGCACTTCTATGCAAGGTTCTGCGTTAGTTTTATCTGTTTGTCTGTATTCGTGTGTAAAAGTACTCGATCAATGTTTTAGTGTGCATTTTCATTTAGATAAGACTACATACAAGACAACACCTATTTCTTGAAAGATAACTAAGATCAGGTCAAACTTTCGCTTTTCTAACAATTTGTATAATTAATTCCGAGCTTTTACATTAGGATTAAAATGTGAAGTAGTAGTACATTTAGTCGTCATCTTCAAATAACTTGTATAATATATGGATAAGCGTCTTTGTCATCAGATATCTGCACAAGACATCGAGAACAAGCTACTGGTCATCAGAGTGAAATAAACTAATATCCTATATTCCAAAACATCGACAAAACAGTAACTTCATTCATGATTTCACCGTAACTAAACTGTTATGCATCAAATCATCTCCTGTAAACTTACACACACGACCATTTTAATACCTAGTTACTCCCTTCAAAAGGTGTTTATTTTGGGTGAGTCAACATCGATAATGCTCTTCTAGGATGAATATTAATGGTTGTCTTATTTACAGAGACTTCTCTTCCTACTTCGTGTCTGTAAGTGAGTAAGTAGCATATCTTCCCAGCCGTTCAAACCTCATTAGCAGCTAAATTTACCTCATATTCACAATTTCCTTAGCTTTTCCTTAGCTAATTTATTTCATAGGATGACTAGGATAACTACGCAGTGAGTAGTTTACACTGTAGAAAAGTAGGAATGAGTTCACCCAGGACTTAGAGTTTTGCATTCATCATCCATCATAACTATGCATAGGAATGTTTACCACTGAGAAGACTGTGGTGATTTAGACCAAGGTAAGCAAAGTTTACCTTCAGTGATGCATCGAAAATTGAACTGAAAAGTCCTATGATACTCAGCGTCTCCAAAGCGTTTCTAGTTTACCAGCTCATCACACCATAATTAACACCCTAGATTTTGTTAGTTTCTAAGTTGTATGTAGCGTTATATGTAATGAGCAAATGTGTTGATTAATTTTATTCTGTCAAAGTATCATCGTTCAAAGTCCTTATTTTAACACCTGCTATTCTCCACATCTATCACAAAAACGTTATATTTTATTTTGGACACTTCATGTCTACCTTTACAGCTGTTATTTATATCAGCCTATAACAAAAATAATCCGGGAATTTTAAAATTTTGCTAAGAAAAACAAATCATGCAACATAAATTTGAAATTCTTTATCTAGTAGACCACCCAAAGATCTTGAATGGAAGTTAAATGCAATAAACACTAAAATAACAAAAAGTTGAACTGACCAACGGAACGGGATCTTTTTCGTGTCTGCGCTGGTTATTTTTATTATCTTGAAATGAATTATTTCCACGCAATAAACATGAAGTCAGTTTGGATTCAGAAGTCTTTATTTATTTGAAAATCAGAGGTTATGTCGTGAATACTTGTATGACACTTATTTCTCAGAAGTTACAGCTGAAAATATGCAGGTACTATGGGATATAACTCGGCCTGTCGCAAAAATAAGTCCATTGTGATTTTCGCAGTTAGTCTGTTTTACAAATCAGTCGATAAATACAGTATGTCTTAGGGCCATTCTAGAAGGCACTGAAATAAACAACTAGGTTTCCTTGTTTTATTTGAAAAACTATCTACTGGAGGAGTTGAAAAACCATTTAGCTGTGAGAAATATCAGCGTGAACCGTGCAGTTTTGAAGTCATTTGGAAATTGATATTCACATTCTAAAGTAGAGATACTTGCCTATGAAAGTCGGCTAGCTGGCTTCAGGTGATTGAAAGTAATTTGGCTGTGTGAGCTGAATTTTCTGGGGTACACGGCTGATGAGCTCCAACCAAAGCAACCGAAACAGCCATTCGGTGCTAAGATCACTCTGATCTGGCTAAAGAAATCTATAGATCTATCTAAGCGGTTTCTAACTGTTGAAGTTTACTGATCCTTTTAATTTTCCATTGTTCTGCTACGTAAAATTAATCGATGTCTGTTGGCATATGGGCGGCCTTGGGGGTATCTCGATATTTCTTGAAGATTCATTACGTAGTTTTTTCGTGGTGATCGACAGTGAATCACAGGATGCGCGTTTCATATTATTCGTGACTCATCAGCTGGATAGATTTGCATTTCATTCAGCTATGGTGTTCCCTTTGAGACTCATACTCAGTACCCGCTGCTTCAGACGCCACAGCGTTACCCACTCGGCTCCTGAAACCCGTTGCACAGAAGAAAGTTCTTGTGACTTTTCATTACACTCCCATTTTCAAAGTGACCGTTGCTGGTTTGAAGTCTTACTAGGGATACCATCACTCAGTGTGCTGCAGTCACATACAGATGGTCAGTCTCTAATGTTACGAAACGCGCATTTTCGATTCTACTTCCAACAAGGAAATTGCATATTTTTTTACAAAGGCACGTTTTTCACTAGCTTAAGGAATGTAGATGGTTATTTTACTTTTTGTTTGGAAAGTTTTTAAAACTCACTTCAAAAAGCAGCTGAATACATACATCATCTTTTGCATAGCATCGGCTAATGTTCGTAATGATGAAATTTAGGCAGGCAGTCAACTGACAAGACGCAGATGGTATTTCAAGCTACGGAGTGTTTCAGTATGCTGATGATATTACAACACCAATCAATTACGAAGTTTACGAGGTTCAACAGTGAAACTCTAACCTTCATGGCAAAAATGTTATTGCAAGAAGCTGATTTGATCCTAATGAG